TGTTTTATCTCAAGTCGTTAATTAAACGTTGTTGCAGTAAGCCATTTTGTATATACGACAGAAGATAAGTAGAAATGTGTATATTTACTATTTTATATACCAACTCAAGTAAAGTTGTTTTAATAATTTTAGTGCTTTCAAAAAAAAAGTCATTTTTGTTTGGTTAAGTGCAAACATACACAACTTGCGATGTTTACCTTGGGGAATCGAACCCCGACTTTTAGTGTTATTAGCTTTAAACCTTACAGTTGAACCACTAGGGGATGGAAAGAAAAAAACGAGGAATTCATGTTTTCATTAAATCGCAGTGAAGTAGCGTTTTTTTATTTCGATACCCGTGGTGGTCAGAGAACGGACAGACCATTGTGTAACGTTGTGGATAACATAAAATAAATTATTTGAATACATAATTATAACATTCAACTTGGAAGGTCCATTTGGTTTAACAGTTCTTATACGGTTATACCCTTTACTCGTGGTTAGAGAAGAAAAATGCAAATTAACCCCAATGGCTCTATGGTCGAAAAATAGGTCACAGAGTGCAGTTCTGTCCGGTTTACTCTTCCCACGACAGGATTGACCTTTGGAGTAAGGTCAGTAAGTAGGCATTCTTCCGTGATCCTTTTCTTTGTCTTTATTTGTATGTGTGTTTATGTGCATTATAAAATTGAAAGTAAATTAAATCCAGCTTATATTCTTTCTAAACCGATTTACTGATAGAAAGACGGTAAAACTGATACTTCATTATTTCTTTAGGCTTACTGACGTATATCAGATTAACTTTGTAGTTATAGATACAATACAATATAAAACTAGTTTTGTAAATAAAGACGATCTTCCATTGTTACATTATCAACTAGTTTTGTGATTTACTGATAGAAAGACGGTAAAACTGATACTTCATTATTTCTGTAGGCTTACTGACGTATATCAGATTTACTTTGTAGTTATAGATACAATACAATATAAAACTAGTTTTGTAAATAAAGACGATCTTCCATTGTTACATTATCAACTAGTTTTGTAAATAAAGACGATCTTCCATTGTTACATTATCAATTGTTGAATGGTTTCAATTATAGTTGGTTGTCATTGTGGATATAAACATTAGTAGTTTACTAGAAGGATAAAACAACGTTATGGTTAACTGTCATCAAAAATTATTTGGAATTTTCGATATTTTTAGATATTTTCCTTTCTATTTAAATCACAATATATTGCAGTGTAACAAGGTAGACGTATTGAAAGTATTCAAATGAATTTTTATAATAGTTTACAATTCAATAACAATAATAAGTTGGCAAACAATGATTTATAAGCACATTCTACTAAATAATTAGTTGGTAAACAATGATTTTATAAGCACGTTCTACTAAATAATTAGTTGGTAAACAATGATTTTATAAGCACATTCTACTAAATAATAAGTTGGCAAACAATGATTTATAAGCGGAATAAAGTGATTTTGGGGGGTCTTGTTAGATGTTTCCACAGAACACTGGCCTGTCTTCTTTTCTGTGGAAACATGTAGTTTTCCCCCAAATCAATCAATTTATCGTGATTATAAACCAACTAATTATTTAGTAGAATGTGCTTATAAATCATTGTTTACCAATTAATTATTTAGTAGAATGTGCTTATAAATCATTGTTTACCAACTAATTATTTAGCAGAATGTGCTTCCTTACTCAAGTACAATTGGATAAAGAAAACCAACAACATGGAAACAAAGGGTCAATAGATGGGATTATAACAAGTAAAACTACAACAAAAGAAATACGTAATATTACCTGCTGTTAATTCGTATCAAACCTTTCTTTAAAACAACGTTGTGTAACAAAAATGTAAAAATAAACTAATTAATTTAACTAAAGTTTCTGTGAACATAAATAATATATATATATATATAAAGAAATGTTAAATGTGAGACCTGTTACCAGGGTTACGGGTTCGAATTCTGGCAGATGTCAATTTTTATTTCTTGGGAGTTATATCTACAATAAAGTTTATATAGATACGTGTTTCCTGTTTAGTCCAACTTCTGGTGTTTCTTTAACAAACAGAACTTTGACTCCTGAAAGTTGTTCCCTCAAAGTGGACCAATACTTTAGGTTACTTTTTACGGTATTGTGTATTTAACTACTATTAAATATCTACCTATGTGTTTTCTCAGTAACTGTTTACTTGTTGTTTTTTAGTTGATACTTAAAGGATTGTATATGTTAACGATAATTAGATAGTTTAATGAAATCTTATTAATTATTACCAAATACTGTAGGTATCAATACACTCACTAACTAACTGATGTTTTGATGATAAAAATATCTATGGTAATAATTAACCATCAGTGCTGCAAATATACTCACGTCGTTGTATATTGTGACGTCACCTCCGTTCCATACTGTTCAAGCCTTATAGCAGATCATGTTGTGATTGGTCAAGTTGATCGTGACGCCACAATCCCGCCAGATAAAGCCGTGCAAGTATTCTCATTCAAAGAATTTGTGTTCGAAGTTGTTTAAGTACAAGGTTTCTCGCGTTCAAGAGCAAGGTGAAGAACGGTAAGAAATAACACAAGAACTACGAGGAATATGGCGTTTTTACAGACCAAATTTATTCATCTCCTTACCGCCATCGTTCTCCTGGTTAATCACCTGCAGTTTGGTGAGTTGTTAAGAATCATTGTTATAATTAAGATGTTTAGAAAAGTGAGACTTTTGGATGGACTTGCAGAGATAAAAGCTTTTTAAACTTTGTTTAATCGCTGAATGTTACTTGAAAACCGTTTTGATCAATATAAAAGTGCGTTATATCTTTTATTAGCATTTCATGTGCTCAACATTTTAAATATTTCGGCTAATATACCTTGATTTAATTAATAATTCTGTGAATATATTGTATATCTGACAATATATACAACGCGTTTGAAATTAAAGTTAAAAGTAAACATGCTAGGTCGCGCTACTGTTTCTTTTACTTGTTCTTATTATTAAATGTTTGAAACTTTTGTCAGTATCTTGAAACATCAAATATAGTTCATGTATTTATAAAACTAGACTAATAATTAAAAACCAAGACATATTCAGAAAAATATGTTAATGCCATAAGATTTAATATGTGTAAATAATTCCTGAACTAGAGACTAGATTTGTGTGATGTATCAGGTATAAGTTGATAATCAACGTAATTATAGTTTTATTATCTTAATATCACTTCCGTCTGATTATTTAAGTTATTATTATTATGTGGTGAATAAATTCGGCTAACAATTATTACCTTTGTTAGGGGCCCGGCATGGCCAGGTGGATAAGGCGCTCGACTCACAATCTGAGGGTCGCGGGTTCGAATCCGCAAACATGCTCGCCCTTTCAGCTGTGGGGGCGTTATAGGGTGACGGTCAATCCCACTATTC